AGCTGTCCTCTTTCCCCAGCATCACTAGTATTACTCAGTGGGTTCAGGAACAGAGTGGCCATGGTGACAGAGAGGGAAATTATTCATGAGTTCAACCTCATGAACTTCCCCTCACAAGGCAGATCTGGCTACCACCACTATTGAATGCTTAAATTGCCAGCAGCAGAGACCCATGCTGAGCCCTGCACACAGTTTCAAACATGTGTGATGCAGGTGGCATTGCCAACCTCCTATTGACTGATTATATTGAACCCCTTTCATTGTGGACTTGATAGCAATTTTTCTCACCAGAATGGATATTTGTTCTGTATATAGATTTGACTTTCCTGCTATGCTTCTATTAGCAATATCTTCTGTGGACTTACTAAAGGCTTAATTCATCAACAGCAATCCATATAACATTGCTTGTGGTCAGGATGCTATGGGCCATTTCCCACAGGATTCTCTAGCCTTACCATAACCCAGGAGCAGCTGGCCTTTTAGAGCAAAGCAATAGTCTATTGAAGACTCAGTTACAGAGCCAGCTGCAGGACATCCTATGGGGTGGGTGTACTGGTCTAGAGAAAATGTTATATGCTCCAAATCAATAACCAATATATGGTGTTGTTTCACCCAAGGACAGATTACACGGGTCCAGAAACTGTAGGGAAGAAGTAGAAGAACCTTCCATACTACCTTCTTCCTCCTTACTGAGAATGCAGGCAGTAAGGAAGTTATAGATGTGCCTCATAATTAGTTGCAAACATGGGGACTGTGGTCAATATTTATATTTTCTTGCATGAGTGGTAGTGTATATGTTCATATATTAACCCCTCCTCTCCCTGTCACCTATTATTTTATATAGGGTATATTGTTGGTGGTTACCTTTATAGCTTAGTCTATAAATAAAACGTATATAGCTTTTGCAAAACGTATTAAATGTCTTCTTTCCTCATTTAAGTGTCCATGCAATAAACTCTTTCTAGAATTAAGCTCCAAGAATAAGTCTCCATTTCCAGATGAGTTTACAAACTTCCCTTTACTGGCTGATGAGAATGTACAATCTAGCACGTTTCTCTTTTGAACTCTTTGCCAGGAAGCTCAGAGCTTCTGATAAGCTCCGTTGTAATGATTCTCTCGCCTCAGGTTTGCAGGACATTGCTTTCTTTCTCTCTTCTAAATGTTTCTGCTTTAACTTTTCCTACTCTGGTTTATATACATTTTAATAGTGCACATCACTTCAATTCCTTTTTAAATGTATCTAAGTAAATACATAAGTAAATAAATAAACAAATGCTGCGGGTTCGCAAAGCAATTCATGACTTCGCTTAGCAGCAGCTCAGGCCCACCATGGCCTGCTCATTCAATCAGCCTTTATTGAAGGCTCACCATGTGCAGACATGACCGTCCTACACTCTCCATCACCGTGTATGGCTTTCATGTCCTCCATCATCCCTATTATTTCCTGTCAGATGCCCCATGGTAAACTCCATGGTAACATTTTGGGGTAATGTATGGCTCCTCTTATTTGGACTGTCTTTCAGAGCCTGTTTCTGTTTGTTCCTCACTCCCACCTTCCAGGATATGGCTTTCACCAGTGGGACCTTTAAATCCAAATCTACTCTTAGATAAGATCTTACAATTTCTGAACTTTCTGATAACTTCTCTATCTACCATATCTTAGAGTACCTGCAACTTTTCCTAAGTACCTACTATGTGACAGACACAATCTGCTTAAGGATAAACAGATGAATATGGTACAGTTTCTGGACTCCAGAATTACATAATTGTGGGGAGGCCAATGTGTAGGCAATAATTACAGCCTTATGATAAATGACAGGACAGAGGCACCATAGAAGTTTAGAGATGTCCCTTCACCTGACCCACAAGCTGAGAGGCGTTTTGGGGACAGTGACCCTTTTAAAATGCAGCAAAAGGTCATCAATCTATCACGTTGGGTGAGTTACTAGGCTTTTTCACAACTGAAAGAACCAACAAGACATTTCAAGCCACTGCATGACTAAACGCAGTTTTGGAAAATCACATGAATTTTCCTACAAAGTCTCATATGTAGTTGTGATCTGGTAAAACTAGTAAATATGATAAAACTAGTACCCCAAAGTAGAATTTTTTTTTTAAAAAATTTTATTTATTTATTTGAGACAGAGAATGAGATAGAGCATGAGAGGGTCAGAGGGAGAAGCAGACTCCCTGCCGAGCAGGGAGCCCGATGCGGGACTCGATCCCAGGACTCCAGGATCATGACCTGAGCCGAAGGCAGTCGCTTAACCAACTGAGCCACCCAGGCGCCCCCAAGGTAGAATTTTAAGTAAGAAAATATGTTTCTCAAGCAGGGCACATAGATCATGTAAAGTACCGCAAAGCTCCCTTAGTAGTCCTGAATGCCCAGTGTGGTACTCTAGAAATCTCCATCAGCGTGAGATGATGTCAGTAAAGGATGGTAATTAGTCCCTAAAGGATTGCCTTGGGAAGTGTACAGAACAAATACTCAAGAGTGGCAATAAGGAAGCAAGGAAGGATATAATTATTTATATAGATCAAAAGATGTGGATACTTTGGACATGTACAAAGGATTCAGATAATTAGTGTTACATATGGATATTCTGAGAGGGTAACATTTCTGTATTCCTTAAGAGACTTTAAGAAATCTATATATGTTCCCTACTTGATACTCTGTTCTCTTGTATCAGTGACTAGTAGCCAGCGTAAATGCTGAACCAAAACATTTCTTTCAGAAACTAATGCAGTCTTGTCCCTCAACAGCACGTATGACTGATGGTAGACTCACTTTGACAGGTAGATGGACAGTCCCTTTAAAGGAAGGAACAGTATGTCAGCAAAGAATTCTCTTGGTTTGGTGTCATGTACAGCCTTTATTAACATATCAATTTTACTTAGTTCTTCCTTTAACAAAACAAAAATCATTGTTTTCTTCACTAGGCAGTCATTGCTTAGTATTCACCCTATCCAAGTTCGCCATCTACAGGTCATCCAGTTTGCAACTGCTTTTAAGGTCAGAAGATTGCATGTGAGAATTCACACGTGCCTCCTATTTAGGGACTTTCTTATTCTTCTTCTCCTTTTTTTTTTTTTTTTAAGGAAGTTTATACTTCTAACTGTGGATTGATACCACAACCAAGGGCTGTTTACTGTACAACTCCCATCTTGTTAGATATTTACTGGTCTCTTTTACATTTCTCTATCATGTAGGGATTTATGTTACAAAAGTAATAGTGAAGAAGAGCTATTAATCATATGTTTTAATACCATGTTTCTTCAGCTTAAAAAATATCAATCTCCCTTTTGGTTAACATAAAAGTAACACACTCTTCACTAATGCTTGAATTACTAAGCACTAACAATCCTAATCATCCCTACCATTTACTGAGCACTTAGCTTGGTACCATTGGCCAAGAAACTTATAGACATTATCTAATTTAATATTTATAGCAAATGTATGAATTATTATTCTCATCTTGTACATGGGAAATCTGAAGTTATAAGCATTTGGACAGCTTAACCCAGGGCATAGAGCTGAGTTAGTAAGTTGGATAAGTGGTTTTGGAGATCTGTCTCGCTTCCTATGTTCTTGGCAAAACCACCATACTGCTTACAAGTAATTTATTTTTCTATTTTTCAAACTTTGAATGATTACCTGTGGCTTTTTTCAACTACCCCTCTCCCCCTTTAGAGGTTTATATGTGCACTCCCAAATAGACATTGTCTCCCTGCTACTTTAGTGAGCAGGAAAGAATGACCTTTCTTCTCCACATGCTGCACAAGAATCAAGAGTACAACCAGAAATTGCAAAGAAGTCTCCTGCATCACCAAGTTTAGTCCAACAGCATTCCAGAAGTTGAGGTGAAGCTGTGACCTGCTGCTCCTCCTCGTGGAGCTTAGGTTGGCAAGTGTCTCCAGATCACGCCTAATCTTCCCTGTGGACCTTAAATAAGTCACATTCAATCAACAATGCCCAAGGCCTGGCCCTCTCTCCAAAAGGATCTTCAAGTTGGAGTTTCTGGAGTTTTTCTTCAGAGATTGCAATTTTTTTAAATTTTTATAATCTTTTTTAGTAATCTCTACACCCAACATGGGGCTCAAACCCATGGCCCCAAGATCAAGAGTCACATGCTTCTCTGACTGAGCCAGCCAGGTGCCCTGAGAAGTTGCTTTTTTTTTTTTTTTTAAAGATTTTATTTATTTATTTGACAGAGAGAGACACAGCGAGAGAGGGAACACAAGCAGGGGGAGTGGGAGAGGGAGAAGCAGGCTCCCCGCAGAGCAGGGAGCCCGATGCGGGACTTGATCCCAGGACCCTGGGATCATGACCTGAGCTGAAGGCAGTCGCTTAACCAACTGAGCCACCCAGGTGCCCGAGAAGTTGCTTTTTTTAAGGAGACCATCAAAGCTTTATTTTTGGTGGTAACTTCTTTATTTTCAGGTGAATTTGAGTTTCTATTCTTTTCCCTGTCCCAAAAATGTGAGGTTCACTTAAGCAAAGTGGAGGCATGCCTATTTCTGGAATTCAGTAATTTCTGGACAAGTCATCAAGATTTCTGGTTTGCATGAGGAACCATAGCTCCCTGGGGACAAGAAGACTTTAAAGTCTAATGATTGGGAACCTTATATTAAGAGATTCTTAGGTTTAATTCAGCTGTAAGGAACATAACACACCTAAACTAGCTTTAGCATAAAGGGAGATTTATTGGATACACACAGGGATCTCTCATGGACATAAGGACAGGAAATGCAGATAGTCCTCATGAGGGATTACAGTCAGGAATGGAAAGCTGTTGGAAGCAAAAGTAATCTCCCTCTCTTTCTCCTTCTCTCTCTCCCTCTCCCCCCGTCCAGAGTCTGTTTTATTCATTCCACCAAGACTTACTGGGAGCCTACTATGTAGCAGGTACCATGCCAGGTTGTAAGAGTATAGAGGCAAACAGAACAGACAAGGTCTCTTTTATTCTTCTCTATAGACCATCCTTATTTGGTTCACTTACCATGGCTTTACATGACCTCCTGATTCAAATCCTCAACAGAAACTAACTCAGTCTCAGCATCCTTAGTTCAAAGACAAAATCTTAGCACAACACAACCTAGTGAATGGGAGAAGATATTTGTAAATGATATATCTGATAAGGGGTTAATATCCAAAATATATAAAGAACTATATAACTCAACACCAAAAAACCCAAACAATTCAGTTAAAAAATAGGAAGAGATCCTAAATAGACATTTTTCCAAAGAAGACATACTGTTGACCAACAGACACATGAAAAGATGCTCGACATCATTAATCATCAGGAAAATGCAAATCAAACCACAATGAGATACCACCTCATATAAGCCAGAATGGCTAGGATCAAAAGGACAAGAAATAACAAGTATTGATAAGGATGTGGAGAAAAGGGACCCCTTGGGCACTGTTGGTGGGAATGTAAATTGGTGCAACTACTGTGGAAAACAGCATGGCGGTTTTTCAAAAAGTTAAAAATAGAAATAACATGTGATCCAATAATTCACTACTGGGTATTTACCTATAGAAAATGAAAACACTAATGCATAAAGATATATGTACCCCTATGTCTATTGGCAGCAATATTTACAGGAGCCAAGATACAGAAGCCACCCAAGTGTCCATCAGTAGATGAATGGATAAAGAAGTTGTGGCGTCTATAACAGAATATTACTCAGCCATGAAAAAGAATGAGATCTTGCCAATTGCAACAACATAGATGGACCTAGAAGGTATTATGCTAAGTGAAAAGATAAAAAAAAAGACAAATACCCAATGATTTCACTTATATGTGTAATCCAGAAAAAACAAAACAAATGAAAAAACAAACAAAAAACAAACTCTTAAATACAGAGAAAAAACTGGTGGTTGCCAGAGGGGAGGCGGGTGGTGGGGATGAGCAAAATAGATAAATAGAATTAAGAGGTACAAACTTCCAGTTATAAAATAAACGAGTCATAGAGATGAAAAGTACAGTATAGGGAATTTAGTCAATAATATTGTAATCACTTTGTATGGTGACAGATGGTGGCTACACGTATTGTGGGGAGCGCTAAGGAATGTGCAGAATTGTTGAGTCAATATGTTGTACACCTGAAACTAGTATAATGCTGAATGTTAATTATTCTTCAGTTTAAAAAAATAATCTTGAGAGGTTAAGATATTTTATTTGTTTCATTGCAACTTTTGAGGGAAGTATTTAATTCTGATCAAAATCATTAGCATAATGATTTGTAGTTCAATTTACTATTTTAAGAAATGTGTGCTAATAATTCCCAAATGAGCATAGTATCTGAACTTCTAATGAAGTTTAGTGTGTGGCTAAACACTACAGATGCAAAGAACTGTAGTTACTGTAATACTAATAGCAAGCTACAGGCATTGTCTTAGGTTGTTTGGACTTAATCTGATTGCTCTGTATATGAGGCCTTCTCACCTCCCATGAGGTAAAGGTTTTAGACATTTTATTTGTTATAATGCCATGCAGTCTTAGTTCTCATTCCTCTTCTGCCTTTCCTCCTAATCAGATCTGAAATCTAGAACTGTTCCCTCAGGGATTCACTCTATTTGCATTTTTAATTCCTCAGTGGTTCCCCTTCTTCTCACTAATTAATTAATTTGATTCAACAAATATTTATTAAGTCCCTCTGATGCACCAGGATAACCAAGTCTTATTCTCACAGAATGTTTTTGGGAGAGGCAATCCATCATGGGCTGTGGGCATCTCTGCAAGTTCTTGCTGAGTGTGTCAAAAATACCCACCAAATTTCTCCTCTCCTGGGCAATTAATCAGGTTTGTATTTGTAGCAACCTTGAGGAATGAGGTAATATCTCCCTCTGGAACAAGAACAGGTTTGCTATAAAAGCAGTGGCTTCCTCAAGATCCATGTTTGTTGGCTGCAACACAAACCCACTCACATCCACGTGGACTGTTCAGTATCACTCCTTTGCAACTTGGAGGACATGAGAAACTGATGTCTATGTGATGCTCATGCTGCTCGCTGTGCTCTTGCATAATAAAGTCCTCTGCCTTTGACAGAGTCTCCTGTCTTTTGCCAGCATCCATGAAACTGTAGCAGGCCAATTTATTAACTTTAAAGAGAGTAAAATAAAATCCCAGAGCCTGAAACTTAATCTTAATTTCCAAGAATTTCATCACTCCTAAAAAACACCCTTACAAAGTGAAATTTTATGTAATCCCCTAAAAATCTGCCTTAGCTGAAATAGGTCAGAGACAAAATGTCAACCATATTTGATGTAAATTTGTTTTTTTTTACTTCCTATAGTCTCCCAAATTCGTAGCCTGCATATTACAAATTTCATGTTCTTCACAATTCTTTAAAAAATTAAAATTTGTGGGGCACCTGGGTGGCTGAGTCAATTAAGCATCTGCCTTCAGCTAAGGTCATGATCTCAGTGTCCTGGGATCAAGCCTCATGTCAGGCTCCCTGCTTAGAGGGGAGCCTGCTTCTCCCTCTCCCTCTGCCTGCCATTCTGCCTACTTGTGCTCTCTCTCTGTCAAATAAATAAATAAAATCTTAAAAAAAATTTAAGGTTTGCGACACTTTCCTTCCAACAATGCAAATTAACCAAAATTTCTAGGGTTTCTGCTACATGTCAGGTCCTGCAGGGGATATAAAGATAAATAAGGCACAGTCCCAGAACTTTTAGGCCTCAGGGTTTAATGGGGATGACAAACACAAATGTGTATCTCAAATACAAGAGTGAGGGGGATCAGGTATAGTTGACTTCCAAGCAAAGAATGGATGAAAAATGGGGAAGGGGAGAGTTAAGTTAGTGTTTGTTTAAGAAGGCCAACTATGAGCTAAACTGAAGGATGGGTAGGACTCCAACAAGTGGAGAAAATGGAAGAGGCAGGGTCTGGGGAACAAGGAAAGTGGTACAAAGAGATGCATTTCAGACAGATGGGTTGGGATGGGAACACAGCAAGAGCAAAGGCACAGAAGGACCTTGCAGATCATGATTAGAGTTGGGTAGGACTCCAACAAATGGAGAAAATGGAAGAGGCAGGGTCTGGGGAACAAGGAAAGTGGTACAAAGAGATGCATTTCAGACAGATGGGTTGGGATGGGAACACAGCAAGAGCAAAGGCACAGAAGGACCTTGCAGATCATGATTAGAGTTACCTACATGGTAGGTAATCCAGGGTGCATGGAGCACCACTGAGAGATGATGAGTTCAGATCAGTTCTGTTTGATGTACCCATGAATCTTGTAGAGAAATGAAGCTCTCTATAAGAGGTGGGAAATGTGAGTCAAACTAAGGAGAGAGATTAGGACTGGAGAGGAATTTGGGGTTCATCCACATGGGGGTGGGCAATAATAGAAGCCATTGCACTAGATTAAAAGAAGCAAAGGTAGGATATAAAGGAGACATGGCCTTCTAGAGAATGCCTCTACCCGGGAGCCAGATAGTGAAATAATGGCCTCCAAAGAAACAGCTAGAAATGTGAGAACCAAGAAGAGTGGAGACATGACACTGGGCAACAAGTTCCACAGGAAGCCCCAGAGTAGCCACTAGGAAGAGGTGGCTAGATCAGGTGATTGGAAAGTTCTCATTGATCATGTAAGTAGACATTTCAGAAAAGGGCAGACCAGAAGAAATGGATGGACAAGTGTTAAACAAGGAAGTGAAAGGCATAAATACAGACTACTACTTTGAGAAGCACTGCTGTTAAAGGAAGGAGAAAGATGGAATAGAGTCTCAGGGGAAATGAACATTTCATAAGAATCATTAGACTTGAACATGTGTGTAGGCCAAGAAGATGTCAGAAGGCAAAGAAAGAAAGAAAGAAAGAAAGAAAGAAAGAAAGAAAGAAAGAAAGAAAGAAAGAAAGAAAGAAAGGGAAGAAGAGAAAAGAAAAAAAAGATGAGAGGGAATATGAATGAGAAAAATCACAAAAGAAGTTAAAAAGGGGTTGGTTTAAGAAGTCAGAAGGAGTAGGCTTAGATACAAGGTAGAACAGTGTCTCTCTGAGGCAGAAGGGAAGGAGAAAACTTGAGAGTTCACCATGGATAACCCAGTCTCCTAAGTCAAACAGATGGAGTTCCAGGAGGTAGTGTGGCAGGAGTAAGTTCAGCTTGAAAAGGGGGATCCTGAATTGAAACAGGGGCTGTAGAGAATTAGAAAGACAGCCAATTAAGGACGAATAGAAGAATCAGTGAGGGCCCAGCCGTGGTTCATCAGTAATGGATCCCACCAGAGTCAGCTGAGGGGCTGTCTCAGTCAATCCACATCTGGAAAGTGTATACAGTGGAGGGAAGGAATATAACAAAAGTTGAAAGTGCCTTTAAAACTATAGATAACCTTTTGAGCCAAGGGGTCCAGGCTCAGAGAGAGGCTGGAGAGCCTACAAGTGGGCCCATAGCTTGGGCAAACTGGGAATCTGGGATGTCAGAGATGCCAATGAAGATGAATGAAAAAGAGGAGGTAGGGGATTCTATTTACACAAGTGTTTTCCAGGTTTGGGACCTGGGATTTAGAGTGGATCAAATGAGGACAGATTCTCAGTTGCAGCTGGGGCCAGCCTGATGACTGACATGGTGTTTAATCAAGTTTGGGCAGTCAGAGAAGGCCTGTGGTATTTTATGACACTTCAACTGGCAGTGTTTTATTGTTGTATATCAAGTACCCAAATACTCTTTTGCAATGTTATTTTTATTAATATGTAAATTCCCCCTTATCCATTTTATTTATTGTTAAAGGAAATACATAATATAAATAGGTATTAAGAACTTGAAACGAGTTGTTCTTAAGTCCTATTTTCAATTTTATTTAATTTCCAATTTTGAGAATGAACCTAAACTAATTTACCTGGGGCCCTGTGGTAGACTACTCTCCATTTTTTTCTCAGTTGTAACTATGAATTAATTTGGGGCTTTGCTTAATGTTTATCTTCCCCACTATAATATATACTCCAATAGGGCAGGCCATGTGTCTGTTTTGTTCCCTTCTATAGCCTGGAATAATTCCTAGCACATATAAGGTACTCAAAAAATATTTGTTTTTAGTAGTTGTTTATAAAAGAAGATATCTACTGAATCTGGGCAACCTCTCTTA